ACCTATTAGACTAGTATCCACCCCACCCTTCCTCATGTTCATTCTCCTACCCCCAGCTATATCCTTTCTTACTTCGTTTTCCTCCCTCTCAGTGTTAAAATCTGGCGTAGAGATTACCTTGGCATCTCCCAACCGTCTCCCCCAAATTCCTAGTTTAAAGCTCTCTTAATAAGTTGAGCCAGCCTCCATCCTAGAAGTCTATTTCCCTCCCTACTTAGGTGAAGTCCATCTCTAGAGAACAGTCCTCTGTCCATAAATGCCTCCCAGTGACCATACATCCCAAAGCCCTCCTTATAGCACCACTGCCTAAACCATCTATTGATCATCATAATCCTGTCACATCTTAGTTTCCCTTCTTTAGGATCAGGCAGAATCCCACTAAAGATCACCTGAGCCTCAATTTCCTTGAGCGTCCTCCTCAGCCTAGCATAATCTCCCTTAATTAGTTCCAGCGAGAATCTAGTCGTATCATTTGTTCCTACATGAAGGATGATCAATGGATTCCTTCCTGCTCCCTTAATAATCCTCTTCAACCTCAGTTCCACATCCCATATCTTAGCACCTGGCAGACAGCACACCCTTCTATTCTCTGGATCAGCTCTGGTTACAGGCCTATCTATTCTTCTCAATAAGGAGTCCCCAATCATGTAGACCTGCCTTTTCCTAGTGACAGTGCGATTCTCTGGTCTATCTCTTGCTTCCTCTGGCTGCAAGTCCTTGTCATTCCTGTTTTCCCTTGTAATCCTTTTTAACCCATCTAATGCTCATTATTGGTGTTGTCTCCATTAACTCTTCCCTTTTATCTGTGGGACTAGCCACTCTTCTCTTCTTCCTTACCCTTCCATCTTCATTATCTACCTGCTGTACCCCTTCTTCATTCTCCAGCTCCACATACCTGTTCTTGAGCTCTATTTTTCCTTCGCTGACCCATCTTTTCCTCTGCCTGGTTCTCTTGGTCACATGCTTCCACTGTCCATTTTCTTCACCCAGCAGTCCCCCCTCTGGGGCCCTTGATCCTGCTACCATCTGCATATCTAAGCTTTCCCCTTCAGCCACGTCATGCCTTTGCTCCATCATCTGCTCAAACCCCCTTCTAAACTCGACCAGAGTTTCCACTTGCATCTCCAGTCCTTGGATCTTTTCTTCCATCAGCTCTATCAGGCGGCACTTCATACAAACAAAACTCCTTTCAGGTACCCCCTCCAGAATCATGTACATACTGCAGCTACCACATCCAATCATCTTCCTTGTGTTCTCTACTACTTGGGCCATGGCCACTACTGCCTCTATGTTTTATCTACTTTCTCACCAAAATCCTATTAGTCCGGTGAACACCAAACCAAACCAAAACACCCCCTCCACAGCAAAAACAAACCCCAAACAAGTCCCTCCAACAGAACTCCCACTCAAACTCCCCTATTTACAGCTCTGTTTGCTGGCTCCTGTGCCACTGTAGCTATCTATGCCGCTGCCTGACTAGAAGGCTACCGTTATAGGACCCCTAATCAGTGAAGCCCTGCCCCCTAATCAGGGTTCAGCTTCTCTCCCAGCACACTACCCCTACAAGCCTCTACACATACAAACAATACAAATACAAAACCAAATACAAACTT